CTTAATATACGGTGCACTCTCAGATTTAAAACTTTGCAGTATGTTTTTATTCGCTTAGAGCTATGTTACACACTACATGAAAGGTCATTTTCAAAAATCCATAATAGGGGCCCTTTAAACTTTAAAGACGACAAACTAAATACACTTACAATTTAATTACAACTAAAATATACTTAGTGCAAAATTAGTTGTTCCAAAATAGCACACTTCAAGTTAACTAATCATTAACACTTGAAGTATACTGATAATTAGTCTGGCTGCAATTAGACAGGCTCTTGTTTTATCAAAAGTTTGGAGTGAGATCTGTTAGGGGAGGAGCCACCCAAATATTTGCAGCGGCCCCTCGGCCCCACCAAGTTCGCTCGAATTTTTGCTAGTAGTTCAATTTTGTTTATAATTGACCAGCACAAATGGAAATTATAACAATTAGTAAATCTGATAAAAGACAGACATATTCATCCAAATAAAATAAATAGTTAATATATCTATCTATCCATCTATAAATTACAGGAACGTCTGTGTGTCTGTTATTCGCATATCTCTCGAACCGTTAGTGCGATGGATTTCAAACTTGACAGGTGTCTTGCTACGGGCACGAGTAAGTGCAGTGCCAAGTTTGACGTTGTTTGGATTAGAAATGCAAAAGATATGGGTAAATATATTGGTAAAAGAAGCACACATTGAAGATGTTTAGATGATGTTTAGAAGGTTGTGGTTTAAAAATAAACATTCTGACATAAACACTTTGTGAGCTAAACATTAAGTCAGCTACACTGTTTACTTCTGAATATTATATTTTATCCACGGCCATCATTTGTAGTAGCCTATTCACAAATTGTTTGCTCAAATATAGCGTTTTTTCAGAGTTCACTGTGTAGCTGCTCCCTGAATCGTCATTCATTTGTGGATGTTAACTGAATCTGCAGCTACGCTGTTTACTTCTGAATATTATATTTCATTCTGGTGCACAAACGTTATCGTGGTTTAATAGTAGCCTATGCTATTCACCAACTAAACATGTCCTATTCAATGCGTTCACAGTCTCTTTCACAGCCATCATTTGTTGTAGCCTATTCACAAACTGTTTGCTTCATATAATGCCATTTTCATACAAGTTAATTTGATTCTTTAGGGTCTAAATGAAAAGTTTGTAATATACTTTAAAAATTCTCATTAGTATTGTAAGAAAACACTAATTTTACCTGGTCAAAAACAGCTCTGTTTTCAGCATGCCGTTTAAGTGCATGTGTCTGTAAATGATAATGACTCCGCCCCTCTGTTCTGCGGGCGTTTTGACACAACACACGTGGAGTGTTGCCTTAACAACAGTTGAGGGTATATTTTGGAGAAAGAATGACAGCGGGCGTCTCTGAGGACCATGCTGAGGACACATCTGTGCAATCGTATCAGTTTGAACCGGAGTCGGACATGGAACAAGATGACAGCCCCGAAGAAGTTCGACAATTAAGGCTCGAACAGGACGTTTCTGAATGGTTGGTTAATGTAATGTTACTTTGATCTATCTTTGTATGTACTGGCAGGGTAGAGTAGTGAGATGTACGAACGCTGTGTGTTTTCTGATGTATACGTACACAGTTTGTTATAACACAATAACCATAACGCGTTGTTCATTATAAACGTGTGATTATGAATTATATTGAGAACGTCGTACATAGAAAACATGCCGTAATGTACCCTGAGTGTAAACCTTAGCCGCATTCATCATGAAGCATGCAAGCGATTTGCAAAGATTAATATAAAGGTTAGTACAACTTTACACTTACTTCTTCTGGAGGTGCAGCAGGAACACGAATAGTTGGTAGTACCGATTATTTTTTCAGGAGCAGCTGCTTAGCATACCCCACCCCCACCCCCAGGTCGTTAAGAAGATGACCCCCCCCCCCCCCCCCCAGGTCGTTAAGAAGATGACCCCCCCCCCCCCCCACACTTGATGCTGCTATGACTGAACTGTCCTTGCACTACAATGCCATTTGCACACAATGCCATTTGCACACAATGCCATTTGCACACTTCAGATGCTGCTTTCGATGAACTGTCTTTGCACTACCATGCCATTTGCACACTTCTGATGTTTGCTATGACCGAAACTGTCTTGCACTATCATGTCACTTGCAGATTTAATTTTAAATGTCTATTTATTGATGCCCATACATAGTGATAGTATAGGTTTAACTCTAGTCTAGGTTTAACTACATGTTTAATTATACTTTTTTTTCTTATACTTCACCGTGGGATGGAGGGAAACGTAATTTCGATTACTTGTATGTCTGGAGCATGTGAAGAATCGACAATAAAGCTGACTAATGACTAAAAAAACAGCTTTATACTGACTCGTTTATAAGGCAGTCTGGTGAGAAATTATTATTCGCGCAAACATGAAAGCATTGACATTGCTCGTGGGGAATATTACCTTCGAAAACAAAACTCAGCCACTGGTCTTCAACGGTTCGGATTTAGGAACATCAAAATGACTCTGTGTTCGTTATTACACCCAAGAACAGAACACCACAATCGCTTAGACGCCATTCTGCTCCAGCGTATCAACAATGACGGACTATGATGACCGCTCGCTCAGTGCGGGTCTGTGTTGAAACACTGCTGTCAATCAACAATCGTGGGAGGGGCGTCCGACCGTGTGACGTCACACGGTCGAACGGCTCGAATCGAGGCAGGGAAAACATATAAGGAGATAAAAAAAAAAAACACTGGATGGATTTTTATCATTATATGGTGGTTGTGTACAGGCACTGCCAACACACATTTCAGTACAATCAACCTGTAAAAGTTCATGTACCATTTTATGACCCCTTTAAGCATAGCCTGGTCTCAATGCTAAGTCATTACTGTGTCATGCATGCTGAAGTTAGCCTGTAACTATGTGATGTTGAATATGCTATGTTAAATTGCTATGTAATCTAATCTAAACTCCTGCTACCTGTACACAGATACCCAAATACATGTCACCTAATAACACCATTATAAATTGTTATGCAACCATGTAGTTCAATTTTCCATATTGTTGCATGTCATTATGTCAGTATCAGTATTTGCTTTGTACCATGCACAAATAAAAATGTCACTGAAGTTTTACTGTGTAATTGTAACAATGAGCACTCAAAACACACTAAACCAACAATTACTAAAAACACACACAAAAACAGATTTTGCACGGGCAACTGCACTCGTTTCATAAATGTATCAAAAAATAAAAAGAAATTTGGCCCCAAACGAGCCAACTGAACAGCGGAGCATGTATGTCAAGTTGTGTGTTTGTTTGTGTGTGTGTGTGTTTAAGTCAAGTATAGCCTACATAAAGAATTTACCCTGTCTCATCGTTTGATCTAGCTATGTCTAATGCTTTATTATTTAGTTTATTTCCTGGAAAAGCCTTATATGGACAATTATACAACTGTTATATAAAGGTATTGTATTTATAATACAATATAACATTCATTATAATGTCTTAGCATTCACTCAGTAGTGCTGTGAGTGTTAGACTGGAGAGCATTGTAGAGTTATACACGTGTGCAGAAGAGGTTGAGTTGAATTCGAAATCAGAGAGAAAGAAAAAAACACTTTGTGTACTTTTTATTAAGTATATGTTTATTAAGAGAAAGAAAAAACACCCTTCGTTGTATCAGTCCTTTTTTATTTAGAATATGTTTATTAGGAGAAAGAAAAAACACACTTTGTTTTAATAAGTAGGCCTACTTTTATTAAGAATAGAGTAAAAAGAAAAAATACACTTTGTTTTATAAGTACTTTTATTAAGAATATGTTTATTAAGAATAGAGTAAAAAGAAAAAACACTTTGTTTTATAAGTACTTTTATTAAGAATAATTATGTTTACTAAGAAGCACAAAGAAAAAAACGTGCTTAGAAAGAGCACAAATAATAGAAGGAGAAAAAAAAGAGAGAATACGTTACCATTATAGAAGAACGAAGAGACGAATGTAGGCTAGATAAGCAGAGGGCGTTCCCAGTCTGGATGAACACATTTTGGGGAGGTCAATAATTTAAATATCCCTGAGGAAGACAGTGACACTCAGTTGTTGCTTCGTAACAACATGAAGAGCTTCACCGGCACCAGAACCATTGCTGATATTGCCTTGATTGAAAAACTTTTTGATATTGTACTTTAAGCTAAAACTTATATATTAAAGTAGGCCTATTTGTAGAATATTTGTGCTGCTATTAATTGTAATAAATAAACAGCCTCATGAGGCATTGATTTATGTTAAGCCAGAACAGACCGTGGAGAACTCTTCTATCAGACTGTAAGTATTGTGTGTATGTAAGTGCTTATAATTTAGATCAGATTCGACTTACTTGCCTAACCTGAGAATAATACAAATAAGGTAAAGGTGTTATGCGCAGTAAAACACTACCTAAGTACAATTTTAAAGATATTTCTGAGAAGTACATAAAGTAACCTTCGCCTAGCTATATTTTTGAGAAGTACATAAAAAGTAGATTGAAAGTATAGTTTCTTATTTTTTAGTTTGAAATAAGTATACTAATAGCACACTTGAATAAACTTATTTTCTGTAAGGGTTGGCTATTCTGTATTTGAACTATTCTATTCAATAGTTATTCTGTATAAGATGCAACATAACATTGAAAAACTAACTAAGAATGTGGTTTCAGAGACCCGATTGAAAACCCTTTGATTGAATCACAAAACAGAATTTACTAGACTATTATTTATTATTTCGTATTATTTCAGTCAATTTGTAGATTCTTCATAATCATTATAAAGATATCACAATAAGCAAATTAGCTGAGAAAGACAGTTATATAGAAACAACTATAGCTACATAACATGCAACATACATAATACAGAACGTATAGAAATAGTACAGAAAGCAAAAAAGTTTCAAAAAATGTTTTATATTCATTCAATAAAGACACAGTGCTGTTCATGGTTACAGTCAGCCATTTTTCTTTAGGCTTTTTCAGGGCAAAAGGCCTATTCCTTTTAAACATTTAGCAATGCTTTTTCTTGTTTTTCTTTTTATAAAGATTTGATAGACTTTTTAGGATTTATGATCAAAATGGCACATCACAGATCCCTGTTAGGCCTGCACTAAAGTCAGCTGCAGATCTCCGCAAACCTCCAAAATATCAATGTCTCTCAGCTTTGCGTAGCGGTGTTTGTAAGTGTGTGCTTGTTTGCCATTGACAAACACGTTGTAATGGTGGGGATTGCAAGAGATGGTGACCTGCAACACACATTCAAAACCCACAAGTAAAATGAGTTCCAAGTCACATTGACAGCATGTAACACTAACAGCAACAATATAACAACATTATTCAAGGATGTAAGTTTGGCTACCTGAAACGGCTGTCCTCTTTGAAACGGCATGCCTCCGGACCGGTCCTCCGAACCCCAACTCTCCATCTGTTTGGTGTTGCGCACAACCACTTTCTCATCGAAACGGGGATTGTAGTGAAATGCGATCCCACTTCCGTAGCACAGGTTAAAATTTATTCTGAAGCAGAACAGAGGACTTATAATATCATCTTAAAATAATAATATAATTAAAATAAAAGTCTGTGTCATCTGAGGTCTAACCTGCTAGCATTAGGGTTGATCACTCCGTGGATGACAATGTTTTTTCCAGGTTGAAGTCCACCATTGATGACAGTTTTGTATGGGACAGTCTAAATGCGGGTCAAAATAAAGAGATATGTATAAATGGGTGTATAATTACAGTATAATTCCTTATTCAAATGTTGCATTAAAATGACACTGGTTTTATTAACAACATCTAGAACAAGAACTAATGCAAACATTATAAAAAAATAATATGCATGAAATAATGAATGAATTAAAATGTTATTAACTCTTTTCCCGCCAGTAAAAAAAAAAAATAATTTTCACAAAATTGTCATGGCCCCCAGAATATTTTTTTTTATGAATATCTGAACATGCAATATATCAAAAGAAAGAACAGATCCTCTGCTTTAAAAAACACAAAAAAAAAACACTGTTCTGATCTAGAGATTCAGTACTCTTTCAGATCATGCATAATAGCGCCTCCTACTGTATAACAGTAAAAACACAGAAAGAAGGATAATTCTCTCAATGGCAGGGAAAGAGTTAAGTGCAAAAGGTAAATGTAGAGTGGCCATACAAGGTCATTAACACATTTAGTCATGCAAATAAATAAATAAATAATAATAAAATAATATTTCAAGAAGCTTGGCAGATACCCACAAAAACAAAAAGTGATTTATGAAAAAAAAAACGTTTAGGTTCAAAACTTAATAAAAAAAACAACAACTTTAAAAACGTAAAAATCAAGTGTCGCACTGAAAACAGATTTTCTTTTTGATGTGAAATTCAGAAAAAAATTGAGAATTGCTGAAATGAATGGCGTGTTGTTTTTTAGGTGAAAGCCAAATGAGCAGATCTTACATAAGATGGTGCAGATGGGTATGCAGGAAGCTGGGGAGATAAAAGGTGCATTAGTATCACTTCCTTTATTCAAGACAAACATTGTGATCTCATATCTCACTGCTTGATCAAAATAACAGCACCTTAGTGAGCACTAACAACACGGAACATCGGAATGACTTCAAATAATGATATAAAATAAATACAATTATTCATTTTTATCAGAATCACAAATAAGAGCACTGCAAACTCCAGTTAAAACTTGACAATGATGTTTAAATGCGAACATAGTCAACTAATGAAAACATGTGAACTATCATTTGGCAGAGGTGATTTAGATATACTCAGTTTATTGTCTTCCTAAGCCATAGTTTACAGATTTACCCCATCCATCATGTTTATTCATCAAGTTTATTGTCTTTCTATTAGTTTTTTCATTTGCAGTTTTCTTTCAACCTTTCATTTAGATTCTGTTGCAGGTCTTTTATTAGTTGTAGAATCCAGTAAAGCATTGTGTGGTTTTAAAGAGCATCAAATGAATCATAAAAAAATACACACAGATATAACCCCCAAAAGCAAAAACTTTTGAACTCTACTGATCACCACACATGACATATTTCATGACCACTTACCCCACATCCTGGAGGCACAGCATACTGAGGCTGAAACTGCAAGGACAAAGAGTTGTTTGTAACAGGAAGACAAAAACCTTAAAAAATCTTAAATCTTTCTTAACTGACTTTGATTTGTTTAAACAAATTACTTCATGACCGCTAAATGACTTAGGTAGCCTAATAAATCACAATTAACTTAAATAACTTTACTTAAAAAAACTACCTTTTGCATCTTGAAAGGCTTGTTAATGAGAAACATTAAAAACGCTATTTTGAATAAATATAAAAAGAGGTTCAAATGTATTATGGACGGGTATATAAGGCATACTCGTTTCCAGGGGCGTCACTAGGCCCTTTTTAGGGGGGCTTCAGCCCCCCTAAACTTCTGCCAAGCCCCCCTAAAAATGTGAGATTAATGTAGGCTACACAAATTCGTGTTCGCTTCAGTCTTGTTATAATCAGATTCAGCACGTTCTCAATCCACAGCTGCGCCGTGCAGAGAGCACGTCAGAAACAGAGGACAGGGTGTGTGTGTTCATTTGTGTTTTCATCTGAGCCTCATTGGTCTGTCACTGCTCGTCAATGTCAGAGACGACCAATCAAATCAAAGTAGGCGGGCTTTATGTTCACAGACGCTGCTGAGCGCGAATTTTCAGTGCGACACGACCATTTTTTACAGTCTATGGACTCGACGGGTACGGTCAAGTGCGAGATAAGATGTAAGTAGCTAAACTTAACATTTCATATTTTACTTTTTTTAGGTCATAAATGTTAAACGAATGACAAAAAATAATCAGGCAAACTAATATAGTTTTGTCTAATTTCGCCATTTTGAACTGAAAATAGGCCTATACACTCATGTAACTCATGTAATGTAATAATTAGTTTACAAGAAACATTAACAAAGCCGTTTTCATCATGTTAGGCACAAGATTAATAATGAATGTGTACATATTGAGAATATAATACAAATTGTAGCCTTTAGTAAATTAAAAAAGCTCAGCTTTAGGAGGGGAAGAGAAAGGGAGGAAGAGACTGAGAAAAAAAGGAAGAGTGATGGAGATGAGAAGAGAGGAGGTATTGACAAATAATCTGCCCACTGACATGGTTTTAAAGCTATTTCTTATCCTTTTTTTTTTGGTCTTCAAACGTCTTGAAATGCACATATCAGAAATAAAAAATTTGAACCCCCTACCAATCTCAAATTTAGGACCTCTGTGATTATAAAGCCCTGTCTACGGCCCTGTATTAGGCATAAGATCAATAATAAATGTGTAGCCTACATATTGTGAATGCATTTAATAAACTTAATTACCTTTAGTAGCTTTCAGTAAATAAACGCGTCTGAGAAAATGATTCATAGGCAAAATCAACCCAGTTGACCCTATGTTTACTTTCTTCACTGACAGACAAAAATGAAAAGCCTATATCAGTCAAAGCTCAGCTTTAGGAGGGGAAGAGACAGGGCAAGAGAAAAACAAAGAGAAAAAAAGTGATGCTGCTGATGAGGAGAGAAAAATTGTCAGCTGCCCACTATCCAAGTTTTTTGGCCTTCAGAACATCTTAAAATGCACATATGTAGATCAGAGAAATCAAAATTTTCTCGGGGAGACCCCGAACCCCCCTATTTGCCCTGCCTCACATTTGGGACCACAGTTATTATAAAACCGTGCCTTTGCATCGTAATGAAAATGGTTAATAGTGATCTTTAGATCCTAAACTAAAGTGTTACCTTTTTTTATAATTTGTTTAAAAATCATATTGGGGGCTTAGCCCCCCTAAAATGAAAATCCTAGTGACGCCCCTGCTCGTTTCCATTCATTATTACCAGAATCACAAATAAGAGCACTGCAAACTCCAGATAAAACTTGAAAATTATGTTCTAAATGCTAACATGGTCAACTAATGGAAACATCTGACTTGTGAAATATCATTTGGCAGCAGTTGTTTAGATATAATCTCTTTCTGGAGTCATAGTTTACAGATAATACCCCATCATGTTTATTCATCAAGTTTATTGTCTTTCTATTAGTTTTTTCTTTCAACCTTTAATTTAGATTATGTTGCAGGTCTTTTATTGGTTGTAGAATCCAGTAAACTGCACACAGATATAACCCACAAAAGCAAGAAACTTTGAACTCTGATCACCATAAAGTTGTCAGATTCATGAGCACTTACCCCACATCCTGGAGGCACAGCATACTGAGGCTGTAAATGAAAGGAAAAATAGTTGTTTATAACAGAAAGAATGAAATGCTAAAAAAAATCTTTCTTAACTGACTTTGATGTTGTATTACCTGAAATCCTGCGTGCGGTTGAATATAACCCTGGAAAGATAATATGCAAAGTGCATTCAAAAGTCAATGCAAAGCTATTCTTGCTTGTATACAGACAGAGCAGTATCTCAGTTTTATATACATTGAGGCAGAGAAGATCATTTCAGCTCAGCTTATTGTCTCTAAGGCACAGGGTTATAGTACTCACTGGAAAAGCTGGTTGTGGAGGTAAATAGGGCTGCAAAGACAAACAAAAATGTTATTTGCCATATTACTGTATGGTTCTGACGCACCCATGGAAATTCATTCAGCACAACCCTCACAGTGCTTTATGGGTATTCTCTAGCCGTTGATCGGTTGTACGCTCATTACTTTGCGGTGCATTGTGGGATTAAATGAGTGCACTCGATAATGGCACCTATAGATTCAGACACCACTACAAATGGTTGTCCCCTCAAATAATGCCTTATTTAAGTGTATAGGGATCGTTTTCGGTTTTTGTGTTAATGTTATGTTCTCTTGAGTAGTTGTGAGTTATTTCCTTGTGTTCCCCTGTGAGTGCTCGTTCCTAGTGTCTATTAAAGTTTTATTATCATTCTTTCTGCGTCACGCATCGTCTTTAGATTTCACTATACAAGCAACCCCTGACAAAACCATTATTGGATGCTCAAACATTTCTTGTAATTATCAGTTGGAAACAGTTGTGCTGATTTGATTACAAAGGTCAAAAGAACAGCATTTATTTGAAATATAAAAAAACTTTTGTAACATTATTAATGCACACTTGCTATATAAAAGTACACATTTCTTTAAAAAAATAATTTCATATCTGTGATGGCCTATACACTTGTGGTCACTCTATTGCAAATCACAATGTCGTCAAAAAGTAATTGCAAAAGTGGGCCAGAAAAATGAAGTTAGTTCAGGGGAAGTTCTGCAGTGGCAGCATGTGTATTTTGTTCTCACCGCAGGATTCTGGAATGCAACAGAATTCAGCTCCACCATTCCCTCCACTGCGATAGTGTCCACCCGAGTAAAGGGAATACGGTGTTTATAGTCCACGAAGTGTCTCCCATTAGTAGATATCTAGAGAGAACCATCAAGGAAAGGAGGTGAAATGCCTCTCCAATAATTAATAATATATCATTCCAACGCATTCTCATCCCAAAGCGTCATATACTGACGCTTTTGCCAAAGCGTCTACATCCAACGCACATGGCACCCTTTAGCGTCAATATGAAACGCAGATATATATGGGCCAGAAGGCGCCTCCTAGTGGTCTAACCCTAACCCTACCCCAGACCTAAACCTACCCATAACCGAAGCGTATTATATTGACGCTAAAGGGTGCCATGTGCATGTGCGTTGGATGTAGACACTTTGGCAAAAGCGTCAGTATATGACGCCTTGAAAGAAAGATGACATGAGGACTAGTGCTATTCAGAAGCGCTTCAGAAACAGAAAATGTGAGAGTGAATGATCTTGTACCTTGTATGCGTCCTGGGCGACAAGGATCTGTAGAGTGAATGTTTGACCTTGGGGGAAGGGAGATTCATACTTGCGTTCCTCTGAGCCCCAGTTCCTGTTTTGGTAGGTGTTTTTCACTACATACTCAGTGCTCTCATAGCGTGGGTTAAAGTGCAGAGCAACGTCCGCCCCAGAATGAGAACCACACTGAAGGTTCATGTGAAATCTGCAGGACAAAAAAAAAATTGAGGAATGAGAGAAACTGGGGAAATAACCGCTGTAACAAGGAAAGTGTGATTATAAATTGTTTGGAAAGACTTCATATCAGTTATAAAATAGCTTCAAGGCTTCAAGGCACATGTGTCAAACTCCGCTCATGGACGGCCAATGTCCTGTAGCTCCGACCAGCTCCAAAATACATGCCTGGAGTTTCTAGTAATCATGAAGACTTTGATCAGCTGGCTCAGATGTGTTTAACTATAGGGTTGGATCTAAACGCAGGACAATGGCCCTCCAGGAACTGAGTTTGACACCACTTCTTCAAGGAAATTATTTTGTGCTTGCATAACCCTTTTTTTTTATCATTTCCACACATCTTGTGAAATGTCTGTGGTTGCCTCTAAAAATGTAACTTAAATGACTATAGACTATATACTGCTGCTGCACTATACAAAACATTCAGTTGTAACTTTTAACTTGAATGTGCCATTTCTATTTTATTTGACCCTTGATGTAACTTATTGGTATTAAATCATATTTTCGAAAAACAAGCAGTTAATTAAGAAGTCACTAATGAAGCACATTTTAGGTTACCTGATATTTGTTTTACAGTGCTGTTAACTGTATAGTCTTTACCAAGAAATCCTATGAAAAATCATTTACAAAATCTTCTGCAGGACAGTTCAATTCTTTACAATAATAGAATATAGTATGAAAGAAAAGTAAGCTGTTACACTGAGATGTTTTGGGAAAACCATAAAGTGTTTTTGTACAGTCAATTAATTGTGTACAGGAAGCATTAAACCATCAAAGTTAAATGATTGTTTATTGCTTATGAATTTCCAATATTTTCTCTAGCAGGGGGTTTCAAACTTTTTAATGGCAAGGAGCCCTAAACAATACCCTTGTGAGATTCTTTATTTAGGCTTATAATATAATAAAATATAGGCATAATATAATATAATATAATATAATATAAAAAAACGAATTGAATTATTTGAAGTGATATATCAGTTTAAATGCTTCAATTTGTTTACATATTATATTATTATAATATGAAAACAAACTGAAGCATTTAAATAGATCTAATAGCTAAATATTTTCAAGAAAATTGAATGTGAAGTCTTTTATAGTAATCTAACCATCCCTGAAACACCCCACACACAAAAACATCTATTTAAACTAATGATGTAGGCCTATTTTGAATTTGCACGCGGGTGGGTGTGTAATTGTTACCGTTCTGTGTCCATCAACCGTTATTTCCACCACTTTAATCAAACCACTCTTCTTTAAAACATTATGATGTTATTTTATTTCACATGTCTTTGCGTTTCTCGTTGCCTCTCGTATTGAGCTATTTGGTCCGCACACAAGACTCACTGTCACACGCGCTCACATCATTCTCTTTCTATGAAACCTGTAAACTGCATTCACCAGTTTTCTTTGAAGGTAAAATGATGTCATAAAGAATCGCATGCGCAGGGTAAGATTTGTGAAAGAGTACCCAGCAAACATTTGGACGTGTAATGACCGTTGAAAAGACGTCCGTCCGACACGTCCCGTCATGGTTGAAAAATAGTTCCAAAATGAAAGTTGAACCGACGTCTTTGACGTCATCTGGCCGTGAATTCCACGTCTCTTCTGGCCGTGAATTCCACGTCTTTTCTGGCCGTGAATTCCACGTCTCTTCAGCGCGTCCCTGGACGTCTAAATGCGTCGTCATTTGTGTGTTTAAATGTGTTGCTGCATAATTAAGTGTATATAAGCCTGCATTTAAAATAATCACACACATATTGTGTAACATCGTGAAAGGCAATCAAGTCTTGAAGTTTACACATCTTGACAAAGGTTCTAAAAAGGTCCAAAATTGGTCTAGTCAGACCTGACCGTCAATAAAACGTTTTAATCACATGTACATCACAAACAAGAACACATTTGTGGACATAAGAAAAAAAGAAGCATGTTCTGATTTAGCACATTTTATTGATCTTGAAAAGCCAAAATGTATCTTAATATTTTTTCAATGTTTAACATTTGTTAACCAAACTAAAATACCAATTACAAAATACTGAATTATTATATAAAGGGATAGTTCACCCAAAAATGAAAATTCAATGAAGAAAGGTATACAGGTTTGAAACATGAGGTTGAGTAAATGATGACAATTTTCATTTTTGGGGAAACTATCCCTTTAAACACATTGTTTGGCTCAGTTTTTGTATCCACCAGCTGTTCGTGTTTCAGGTGTTCTGCCATTGCTGCATCAATTTCAGAGTCTGTAGCATTTGGGCTCCACCTCTTCACAGCATCTAAGGGAAGAGAATATATATATATATATATATATTTAAATAAATAAAATTATTATTAAATTAAAATTTGAGGTAAATGATATGCACTTATTTTAAAAATATTTTTATGGTCTACAGCTAAATTAAAAAAAAAACATGGAACAACATGAATGAATCATGAATGACACATTAGAAAAAGGTAATCAACATGCATTACATTTTATTTTATTGTATAAAATATGTTCTGCTTTTATTTTTAAAGCAGTTACTGAAAACATACATGTTAAAATCCAGCTAAACATTTCATTCCATTTCAGATAATTTACTTTCTGAAAGAAACTCTCAAAAGGCTACATTAATAAGTTACAGTAATGACTGTATCATTAAACAATATACTTGGTATAACGTTATCGTTGTTGTATACGTTCAAAGTTACTTTTAGCCTACTGGCTAATTTTAGCCAAACTCAGTAAATTTCAGTTGACAATGTGGGCATAATTTCTTTCGGTTCATTCATGTCACACAAGTAAAACTCAAGCACATTAATCTAATACAAAATGTACTTACCCAACAGTAGATTTTTAATAATATCGACACAACTCCCTCCTCTCCTCGTGCTTGTTCAAAGTTCCAGAATCTATGGGGAGAACGCGTTAACATCTCGCGAGATAATCCCATCGCATGATTTTGTAATATCGCGAGATCTTTTGTTACTACATCTTGGCAGCACAGTTTATGGTTTGGGCAGAGGGTTTGGGTAATTACATCCAACTCAGACATAAATGGTGACCGGGTATATTTCTGTTTTACTTGTACATACATTCCATAAAAAAATAACAACGAATACATCAGGTACAACAGGTTAAAATAATGATTAAAAGGCAGTGGCTTTGCAATCACTTGACTATACTGTGCATTTTGTGATTATAATTTATAAAAACAAGATAAAGTAAATATATATTCATTTGTATATAAATCGTGTATTTTACAAAGAATTATAAATCCTGATAATTTTTTTCTGTCTTGCTAGACTAGACGTGCAAAAGACGCCAGTGGACGTATAGTATTCACAGCCTGACTAGACGTGTAAAGGACGCCAGTGGACGTCTTCTTCACAACCTCTTAAAAACTTCATGGGCAACTACATTAATTATTGCAGTATTAACCATGCGAGGATTAAGCGCAGCTTTTGCATATTTAACAATGATTTCAGGGTCATGATGGACTATAAATGCACGTGTAAAAGACGTCGCCAGGTGACGTCCTCTCACCCGATACACTAAACATAACTACACGAGCTAAAAGTTAAAATAACAATTATACATGCAACTGTAGACATGTACAAATGTATCTGAATGCATTTTTAGGAAATGTTCTGTGTTACATTTTTTACCGATTTATGACGTCCTGGCCGCAACTATTTTTGGCCAGGGACACGACGTTGCCGTCGGACCAATGTTTGCTGGGTACCTACATAAGATTGCAAGCGTAAAATAAATGTGCATGCGCAAGAGAAGATTTGTAAAGGTGTAAATCGCCCTTCAAGTGTAAGAAAAAAATATTTGCAGCTTTTAACTGTTATTCCTAAGTATAATTCATGTATTTTGAAGCTGCAGCTTCATGCTAACGCAAAATAAATAGGATCTGTATTCTTCAGACTTTCATTTTCCGCGCTTACACTTTTGGCACGGTTTTTGCGCACAATTGCGGACAAAAGCATTGCAAGCCTGTAAACAGCAATCTGCAAGCGAAAACAACAGAGGCAGGAAAAGCAAAACAGATGAATTGCGTAAAATCAAACTTTGTGTAAAAAATTAGACTGTTGCAAATGTCTAAATGATTTCTTGTGTGCATGGGGCAAAAAAGTTCCCGAAATAACCCGATTTGTGCAGTTGCGTCTTTCTTTTACCTGCATGCGCTCAGTTTTGGCACGATTCTCTCACTCACTCATTCTCATTCATGAAACACGAGCAGAACAAATTTTTGTGTAAATCGTGTGTAAAGTGGTTCTGGCGTAAATTTTCGGATTCATTAAAATGTTCGTATTTTCCAAATGTTAGTTGGTACAGAAAGAAATCTACACCTGCTCCCAGCCACGCGTAAATAGTGCGCTTAACACCCGAACGTTTTGCTCATTAATAAGGCTGCATTTTAATTCACCTTAATCGGGTACATATTTGCACAGCATTTTGAAAAAAATATTATATATAGTAATTACATACGGTTTTTCTTATTATGAGAGCCAGTAATAGCATCTGCGATGGTGGTCCTTCTCCAGTTTGAATACTATTTTTCCGAAGTGAACTAATTCGTTTTTTGCTCTCAAGCTTAATGTCGAACCATTTTCTTCTCACTTCTGGGAATGTTCGATTAACAGATGAAACTCCATTAACTGCACCTGTAGGCTGTAATATGCTGCCAAGCTTCCTTTTTTTAGGACCCGATACCCCACAATGTAGGCCTACGCTTGAAAATAAAATGTGGCGTTTTGAATGAACTTCTGATAATAAAACTTCAATTTCTGCATCTGAGAATTTTTTTTTTTCATTCGCATTCATGTCATAATATGATGCCCATATATAGTTGTCAGTCGGATTTAATGGGCGGGATTTATGGTAATTGAGAATGAACGTGCACGCGCATCCCATTTACGACTGATTGGAATTCATTAACACACACACACACACACATTTCACTATCACATCTGACGTTTACGAACTATTTGTGAATCAGGAGAAGAGTTTTCGGGAATGTCGTTACGCGCAAATCACTCGCATATTTACTCATTTCAGCATGCACTTATTTAGCTGTCGCATCAATGACATGCCATCTCCTTTTCCCTCTTTCTTTTTCTATTTTTAGCCCCCCAGCATTTTGTTTTATCCATCTTTTTCGACGACAACTCACTAGGCTACTCGTACCGGCTCGCTCAGCGCTCACGGCGCCCCCGCCCGCTCGCGATATTACCCCGCCCCCCTTCTCCACGAGGGCGCCTACTCTAGCCTGTTAGTCCTCTAAAATTTTATATAACATTGAAGAAATGCAGAAATGATTTAGAAACGCACAACAGCAGCTACATATAGAAAATACAATATATATATCTTTTTTAAATTTTTTTTTTTTTTTTTACCATCGCTTTGGCGCCCCCCATGGTGCTGCGCCCCTATGCGCCGCATATAGCGCATACCCACTTTTTGCGCCACTGGTCAAAGTTTAAGTGTAAGGAATTTGCATTCTGTCTAAATTACAGTCATAGGAGGCTATTGAAAAGATTATTTGTTTAAGGTGAGAGAGACTGCTTGAAAAGGAGGAAAGGATGGTGACTTTCTGCCTTTCTGTTATGCCAAAGAAGCTGAAGCAAGGTAATGATTATGAACCAAAGCAACACAGCTGACTTTTCTAAAATCAAATGAATAATGAACAAACACACTTTGAAACTGGTTAAGAGGCCATAGAAAGTAATTAGATAAAAGCTAGGAATATGCAAGGTTCAAAATATAATTTAAACTGTACAATCTTTTTAGAGAAAAGATAAGAATAAGAAATATGAGCGGTTCATATTTAGATGTGTTTGATGGTGACTGCACTTTATGCCTTGTAAGTGCGAGTTTAGGGAAGAGCTATTCTGTCTGAATAGTGTGTGTGTGTCATTAACCTCTGGAAAGAGTGTTTTATCATCACTGATGAGTTAAGGCGAATGACAAATTCAAGAGAGGTTGATAATTCTGAGTCAATTTGATAATCAAGTTTTGTCTGCTAGTTACAAATTTTGGTAATTTATGATAGATAGCAGATTTGAATTACTTTTTAGGATCAGTTTAAGTACTGATGGAAGTTGTAAATGAACATCAGTCATGGGTTGAGATAAACGAAAGGGTAGCCTATAGATTTTATGGCAAGAACAAAGCGACACATTGGCTAAGTCAATATCAAATTATCAAGAGAGCCTTTAACATTTATGAGAACAAAGAAAAAGAATGTACTGACACTGACTAAGTCTGTACAACACGACCTGACCTGACAGAAACAATTGATGACTTTGGATACACTGTAAGACTGAGAGCCATTGGCCTTCAATTGCTCTGATAAGTGGGCACCATTGTGTTAAATTGATGCAAGAGTGAATTCATGCATCAAAAGGGGGATGGAAACAATAAAGAAAAAAATTGCTGTATTCTTCTCCATAACAAAATTGCAGGACTGTTTCGACAGGAAGCGCCAGGGGCGAAAGAAACTATGTGTACTTAACCTCGAAATTTGTTTTTCTTTACAGAGCATGTAGATTTTGATACAGGAATGTGCCCAATAAAATAATGACTATGTTGAATTTGCTCGTTTCCTTGGTGGAAAACTCTGCTATTTTCCATATAGCTGCAGTAAAACCACGTAAAGGAGCATAGAATGGCCATGGGGCTACAATGTGCTTCACAGTTGGATTAACCATGAAAATGCTTTGCTCACAACAGGATTCAGTAACTCTGAACTTTGCACTTTTATCATGCTCCTTAACAAAAACATTGGTGTGGGAAGATTTTGAGCCAGATCACATCTCATACTCACATTCTCATGCTGGCTCCCTGTTAAAAACAAACAGGACCAAATTTGCATCACAATTGTAAAACTCCCTCATCTTTGTTTTGGGGCATGATGAATTTACACATAGCTAGCCACAGCTAAATTCAGCCACATAGATGACATCATTAGATCTTCACACAAAGTCAAATCTGCATCTATCTGATTCTGCCTCACAAAAGTTAATGTATACAATTTTAATTAGGTCTTTACATCTAGACTGAATTATAACTATGAATTTCATACAGTAATTGTTTGTTTTGTTTTTCTTTGGTTTTACTTTATCATTTAAGTTTTTGTCTCACCAAGTTAAATTTTAAAATGTATGTCTCATTTTCACCCAAGTACAAATATTTGTATTCTCATTGATGCTTTTGAAACATTTCTGAAAGTTTATTTGATTTCTGCGTTTGTATTTTGTCCATTTTACTATCAACAATGTTTTTGGACATTAATTCATGAAATGGGGATTTTAACCAGCATTTGTTGTTTTGTTGTAATGAAGTTTATTTAAATGTTTACAGAAACAGTGTAAGAGCTTGTAAGATCTCCCTTGACCATATTTTGAAGTACATCAATTTAAGAAATGTTTACCTATTTGTTACAAACTTTTTACTTTTAAAATTTGTATCACTTTCAAAATTCTTTCCAAAATTCAAGCAGAGTGATCAGGTACAAAAATCAGACATGAAGAGTACAAGAGCACATTTATGGGTTTGATGTAGTGATGATTTGGATGAATATGATGATTTTCTTTGATTGAATCAAATGGGTATTGTATTGATATAGATTTAATGATTTGATTGGTTCAATTGTTTACAGGAAAAGTAGAAAATCTATTAATCAAAGTAAAGTATAAGTAAAAAGTCAAGGTTAATTTTGAACAACTACATTGGTTAGAAGAATGGATAAAATATAAACCCTTTTTCTGGATAGATTTGATTGAATATGGTATTAAATAGCAAACTGTACTGCCAATTTCAATGTTGTAATGTTTGTCATGCATTGTGATGCAATGCATCCCAGGGGAGCAGAAGGTAATTTAGGTTGTAAATGAAGACCTTTTGACTTTTCAAGAACAAAGGACAATTTGACCTGCCTGGGAAGGAGGGGTTTACGATGCAAAAAGACTGTAATGTGCTGTTTGTGGAAATCAAGCAGGTCTTGCCTTTTCAGAAACTGGGTGGCTGCGGTTGTGAAAAGGGTCCTCAAGAATAAAGCCTTTTCAGTTTGCCAAAAACAATTTGCCTCTTGAAAGTTTTCTTAAACCCTTTGATGCTGGTTTTGTTAACCTCTGAAAATTGCTCTTACAACACAAAGTTTGATTTTACACAATTCATCTGTTTTGCTGTTCCTGCCTCTGTTGTTTTCGCTTGCAGATTGCTGTTTACAGGCTTGCAATGCTTTTGTCCGCAATTGTGCGCAAAAACCGTGCCAAAAGTGTAAGCGCGGAAAAATGAAAGTCTGAAGAATACAGATCCTATTTATTTTGCGTTAGCATGAAGCTGCAGCTTCAAAATACATGAATTATACTTAGGAATAACAGTTAAAAGCTGCAAATATTTTTTTCTTACACTTGAAGGGCGATTTACACCTTTACAAATCTTCTCTTGCGCATGCACATTTATTTTACGCTTGCAATCTTATGTAGGTACTCTTTCACAAATCTTACCCTGCGCATGCGATTCTTTATGACATCATTTTACCTTCATAGTTTTCACTCTAGCGGTTGACCAGAGCACTGAAATTATTTCTCACTTAAACTACAATCAAATGGATTTCCCCACACATTTCGCGTCAGTCCTCTGTGTTGCATTTTATTCTTTTCTGCGCCATAGATATCATATAGAGACTAGATTCCCTATTGGCCGCTGGAAACCGAGAAATCCGGCCGCCATCTTGAACCGGTCGTATTCCTAGTTTCGTTGCGTGGCAGCAGATAAGATGCCAGAGCATTGTGGAGCATTTTCCTGTTCTAATCGTCGGACCATCGAAAATAGGGCTTTTCACAAGTAAGTCTTAACATTACCGTACTATTGGTTGTATTTTGTGAATAGAATATTACCAGATAATCAAGAAGGAGCAAGGATATTTGCTATTACTGTACTGAAATCGTTGTGAAATGCTGTTTACTGCATCAGCCGGTGTTCACCCGGCATGGAGAGGTGGGGTAACTGTTAAAGTAGTAATTACAAGAGCTTCTAGGTTATCAGATAAGCATTCAACTGCCCTGTTGTATGTTATTTGTGTTTGCGCATGTAACAGGAGACCAGTTACACGCACATGATATCAGGAAGCAATGTAAATACAAGCATTACAGCGATGCGCAAATTGAGTTACCCCTCCAACTTCTAGTTTTATTGATAACCTATATCTTATCACATGCGATTTGGCTATTGATATTACAGAAGTCCTGTGGTAAAATTACATTATTAACTTACTCCATCTACCCTTGTAAAGTTAATCCGAATAGGGCTTTAGTCTCGACATTTTCCCCTCCCACATCCACATAGGCTACAATAAAAAAGGTAGGCTTAATGTTGTCCGAATTTAATTTTTAGAAATTACTGATGCAAACACGTTGAAAAGCTTCTTCTCAATTTTTATTACAGGTGGCTGCGTTCGGTGGATTCGGTGGCTGCGTTATGTGTGTGAAAGTGTGTGTGTGTGTGTGTGTGTGTGTGTGTGTGTGTGTGTGTCTGTTCGTGTTTGTTTGTGTGTCTGTTCGTGTGTATGTGCGTGTCACAAATCATAAATTGTTTCTTCAACTTATTAAAATATCTTACTTTACTGCAACTATCTGTTTCTGCTTCTTTATTATATTTATAGTGTGTGATTTATAAAATAGGCTACATTATATCCTTAATCACACATATTGTGTCTGGTCACTTTATATCTTATATCAGAATATTATATTACTGTTAAGCCTACTATGGATATTAAAATACGCCGAACCATGTGTCCTGTATCATAGCTACATGAATGACCTTTGCAGCAAAAAAAAAACCCGCGTGAAAATCAGTTCAGTATTCACTATTCAGTGAGATATGATTAATTTAATGCGCTGACAGCTCATTTCACCTGCCATTCAGATTACACTGAGCGGAGCGGATGACCGGTTTAAGATGGCGGCTCCAATTCTCGTCCGTGCCAATAGGCAGTAGCGGTCGATAGGGCGTCTACCTATATGATCGCTGTCCGATGAAAACCGCGTATGTCCATTTTGCCGATTTTGAGATTTTTTGACGGATATAATGTCCAGGTTAATTTCCGTATACAGCATGCTTCACATTATCTAAATGACCAATGAAAAGTTGTGAAATCATGTCATCTGATTTTCACGTATATCCATTTGGTGTCAAAGCTGTCAATCACACCGCGTATCTCCCACCCTGTGGATGCATCTCGCCGGTCTCGTGAAGTTTCGAAGCACTGCTACTTGGGCACAGAGATATCACGCAACACCTGAAATAAAGCTTGCCACAAAGAACCGGCGAAAGTAATGATTATGCATGAAACATTTGAATTGTTGATAAAGTTGACGATACAGACTCGCCATCTTCGCAGTAACGCGCCTATAGAGAGAAATGCACACTTCATATGAAGTGCTTATTTATTAATCCAGGCCAATTTGTTGATGAAACATTGATTAAAATGAAGATACAATTTATACAAAACGAAATAAAATTTAAAGAAAGGCTTTCTACAAAACAAAACTTAGATCAAAATCTGACCCATTCCAAATGTTTTCCGATATAGGCCTAATTGGTCATCTTATTCTTATGATCCTATCTTACTCATCTCATGCGGTTCCGTTTTCATATAATCAATAGATGAAATAAAAAAAAAATAACATTGTATTATTTAAACATAAATATGAAACGTTAACGTATGTTTAAGTTTTTAAACGTATAAGCGTCACACCGCTCCGCTTTGCTCACATGCTAATAATCAAATAATACCCAGCGATCTTCGAAAATTATTTTTGCTTGAAAATTTCGTTTTGTATAAATTTTATCTTCATTTTAATCAATTTTTTCATCAACAAATTTGCAAGCTTTATTTCAGGTGTTGCTTGATAGCTGATCTCTGTGCCCAAGTAGCAGTGCTCCGCCTGTGCTTCCCCCTCATAGTATCAGTCTATCATTGCCATGTCAGTGTATTGATTCATTGTCCCTTCATAGTTTGCAAGAGACATATAATAAACTGAGCGTATTAATAATCTGAGACGTAGGCTATTTAATAAACTGAGCGTAGCCTATTCATCTGTCAATATGAAACGCGACTGGGTCATTCTAATTAATGATCGGAAAAACGCGTATCGACCACCGTTACTGTAAAATATGCACGTATGTCCATTTAAACTCAATTTTGGTCAAATGTGGATTATATCATTACACTGGCAAGAATATGGTTACATTTAAAGTTGTCGTACCAAGTATGACAACGCTACGTTCAACTGCTTTTGAAATTACGTGTTTTTTTCACTTCCTGAAAAGTAACCGTTTTGGACATAGGCTACGTGAGTTTCATCGGGCAGCGACGCATGTTCTGCGCGGCCACCGCATCGAGGTGCGCGGCCGCGCACGCGCGCAGCTTAGAGGGAACATTTTCATCTAATAAATATTTAGCAGACAAATGGGAATAAATCTCTTTCATGTACTGTTAAAAAAGTGGCTGCCTTAAATTACAGTTAATTACAATTAAGTACAATCAACTTGGATGTTTAATTCATTTCACTTTAATTACATTGAACTGACTTAAAAAAAGTGTTGAATCTTGTAACTTATATAAAAAAAAGTTGAAAATTGCTTTACTTATTTTGATGAGTTTAAGAAATGTAAAAACATATGTTGTCATAACTTATTGATCATATAATGTTTTACGGTGGGTCCTTGAAACATAATTGCTCACCTGTTAGCCCCTGGTAAAACCCGTCCACTTATGATAATACTCTTCCCGTCCTGCAAGCCTCCTTGGATTGGGCCACTGAATGGGATTCTCTGTGTCGATGTAAATAATAATGCCACACGTAAGTATATATAGCTCCCCTGTGTGGATATGCCCTGATGAACTAATAATAGCCTACTCAATATAATGTCCAACACGTTTCATCTTTGGAAGTTTGTACCTGCTTATTCTATTCATTAGTGTTAGAATCAATAAAGAAGAAACCACATCTTCCGTAGGCTATTTCATTGGTTTAGAAAAAGGAATAGACGCAAAAGTACACGGACCTCTGGAACAACATGCGTGACGTGTGTAAAGGTGATACACTGGGGAACTTTGCAATGTTGCCGTCAACAGGCAACCAGGTGAGACACAGGGCCCACGACCTACCTAAATTATCCAGATAGAAATTTGTTGCCCATTCCCAATGGGAAAATGCCCAAGCAACAATCGCTCGGCAACATTGCTCAAAAAGTTGCCCTGTCTGTCATCACGGTAAAGGCTATTATGAACTGAACCTTTGTCCTTGACAACGACGGTGAAAATGTTCAATTATGCATTTAGAAGCAGAGGTGTAAAGTCCAGGGGTCAAAAAGTAAAAGTCCTGCCATATGTTTATTCCACCCATGAATTAAGTCAGCTGATATCACTAATTAGTTCTACCTGGGTGAAAAACTGCTAATTAGCAAATCCAGGTGATTGGAACAAAATACTGTGGAGGACTTTTACTTTCTGAACCTGGACTTTACATTGGAGCCACAATTTGAAGGCTTCATGTATATACACCAATTATATATAACTTTCAAAAGAATTAAAGAACAGAAGAAAGAACAAAGAAACCCCACCCGATTAGGCTATAGTCAGTGTGACAACTTGCCTCGGTCTCTTGTTGCAAAACTGAGTTTTAATCAGCCAAAATGTTTTTGTGCATGCAAAATCACAGAGTTAGTGTAATAACTCAAAAAAGGAGAAGGACGTTAAAAAGAGACAAATGCAAATTTGATTCTTTTCCATAACAAAACTAACTCTGGTCACTTACCGGGTTATAAAACGGCTGTTGTTGATAAAACGCCATCCTGACAGTTCTTGCAACTTTAAGTGTGTCGTCAAGACCGACAGACAAAGTCTAGAGACAAAGTCGCTATAGCCTACAGCAATGAGAACCACATGTCCGGTTTCCAGTTAAAAACGCGTTAGGTTTCGGTTTCTCAAACCAGGAAACTTGCATAATGTCTCAGTAGCGTGGTTCAACTCAATTGCACCATTCATTTCCTTATGATTAGTCTTCCTAAATTTGATAAATGTAAACGTTCGTTCACATACCCAAAGTGTTATTAGAATGAAGAGGGACGTATTTTACAACAGTAACGTTAACTAAATAAGATAGATAGCTTACAGGAGAGGAGATGGACATTTTGGGAGACAGGCTATTTAAAACAGATACGATGTCAAGTCAAACAATAACGTGCTAATTATTTATTGTGTGAATATTTTTATTTCATGCTATTCCATCCTTTAAATTTTCTGTAACGTCATTGCGCAACATTGTAGGCTACTGAATCAGTCCGCTAATCGACATTCCAGAAGCGTTCCCACGAGGCGGCTGATAGCTACAGATTAGGCTAAAACATTTTTTTGTGTGTATTATGAGGCGCCACGTAGGATTTAAATCAAACTTCGCTTATCAATACATACATAACACGCGTGCATATATACCTATAAATTACTCGCATATAGCCCATTGGATGTTCAAAATACATATGAAATACACGTGCACACTAATATGAAATCTATACCAATACATATTATGTTAGTAATGAATGCATATACACTTGTGAAAAACTTGCATATAAACTTGACTTAGACTTTGTCCGTAGCCACATGTGAATACAGATAACTGTAGTCTTAGTCCACAGATGATTTTTTTCTGAAACCTAAAATTCCTGCAAGCATGCTAAACTATAGCGGTATGTTTGTTTTTGAACAGGGTAAATTTTATTGGGCAGTACTAAATAAAACATGATAAACATTTAGCAAATTGTGTGTTTGTGTGTGTATATATACATATACACACACACACACACATACATATATCAATCAGACAATCACATCACATGGCAGCAACTCAATGCATTTAGACATGGTCTGCTGAAGTTCAAACTGAGCCTCAGAATGGGAAAGAAAGGTGATTTAAGTGACTTTGAACATGACATGGTTGTTGGTGCCAGACGGGCTGGTCTGAGTATTTCAGAAACGGCTGATTTACTGGAATTTTCACGCACAACCATCTCTAGGGTTTACGGAGAATGGTCTGAAAAATAGAAAACATGCTGAACCTTGAAGCCGATGGGCTACAGCAGTAGATGACCACACCAGTGCCACTCCTGTCAGCTCACAACAGGAAACTGAGGCTACAATTCACACAGGCACAGGTGGTGCAATGGTGTGGGGACGGTTTTCTTGGCACACTTTGGGCCTCATATCACCAATTGAGCATCATTTAAACGGCACAGCTTACCAGAGTGTTGTTGCTGACCATGTCCATCCGTTTATATAACCAGTCTTTCCATCTTCAGATGGCTACTTCCAGCAGAATAACGTATCACGACACAAAGCTCAATCATCTCAAACTGGTTCCTTGAAAATGACAATGAGTGCACTAAACTCAAATGGCCTTCAGTCACCAGACCTCAATCCAATAGAGCAATTTTGGGATGTGGTGGAACAGGAGATTCTCATCATGGATGTGCAGCCGTCATATCAGCAGCAACTGCGTGATGCGATCACATCAATATGGAGCAAAATCTCTAATGTTTCCAGCACTTAGAAAAGCTGTGTGTCGGTGTGTGTGTTAGTCTTCTTGGTTGCAGGTTAAGGAACCACTGGCATTATGGGAGATTGACTGACTTGTTTTCTTCGACATGTCGGCGCCTAGCAACCCAAATCTGCGACCTGGAAGGTCATGACGTGCCTAAACTTCAGGGTCTGTGTGTCAGCTGCATAATCTATGGAGAGATCCTTCAGTCTGTATATGTGAGGAATATTACTTAAGACTGTGTTCTTAGCCAATCAGAAACTGCAACCTGAAGCAAGGACGTAGCTTAGACCTTGGTAAATGGTATAATCTCTGTGATCTTTGTCACTGTAAGGGGGGCGGCCTACAAACTCCTGTGTGAGTCTTGAAGCTGACTTCTGCTGATGAAACTGCAAACTATCTTTAGTAAATCTTTTCTTTAATTTATTATAATTCTGACTCCGGGTCTTCTTTCATCATATCTGGTTCTGGGTCTTTAACTGTTTACCCCTAACAATTCTCTCTCATGAATTGGATAAATGATAAATAACTGTTTCGTTTGTTTATTATTTCTGCCAGGATAAAATGACATTGTGTTTACAGACAAGTGGATAAAAGCTTTACAAAAATATGAATTCATAATTTCATAACATTAAAACCACAATCTCACTCTAGAAATGTACATTTTATGTCCGAGACACTGTATATAAAGAGCTGTACAACAGGAGTAAAGTACCTTTTCAAAATATTGCGATGGAAACATAAAATTTTGTACAAATAATATAAGAAATCTTAGCTGTACAATAAATAAAACAATAGTTCTCTATTGTCTGTTGTTATGGGAACAGTCACTGCAGTCTAAAAGAATCATCCTCTCAATGTTTATACCACCACCACAAAAAAAAAAAAAAAAAATCACCCAAAACTCGGCATGCACACGCTCACACACTCACTCTGACTGACACGCGCACACACGCACACACGAGAGGTATTAGACATGAAAAGTTTCTGAACACCATCCTGCTGGGTCAAAATATCTTTCATACTCTATGATATTACAAATAATTCGTCAGGACCCTTAATTTTTGAGGCTCTTTAACTGTCCTGGTAGGGCTCAGTAGGTCAGATTAGCATCCGGTAAAATATTATTTATTTCAATCTTAATTTGGGGCAACAATGTGGAAAAAGGAAGTCACTTCTGTAAAAATACAGAATACAGTAGAAGGTTTGTGGATTGCAAAAGCATAAGGTCTTGACTACCAGAAGTGCAATGGAGATCACATTTCATTCATGTGACGGCACACAAGGGGAATTTGAAACATGGCAAGGTCTGCTAGCTCAATAAAAACAAGGGAGGAAATCCTATCAGCATATTTTCCATATACAAAGTTTAGCTAAAATGGCTTTGCTCAGTATTAGAACAGACAAAGGTTTAAAAGCTTAATAGACTAAAAGTACTGCTAAGGAAAAGCAACACAAAGATGAACAGTGCCAAGATTTGTAAGACGCTCTGTTTATCAGAAGCATAGAAATCAATAAATCACACAGGAAATAAACGGAATAGAATCAGACATCTGAATCAGTTGCTTTCTTTGAATGCAGCAGCCAAGCTAATATTAACGGCAGCCGTGGACAAATGGTCGTATTTGTACACATAGGGACAGCGAGAGCGGAGGCCCGGACTGCAGTGCTCGCGCAGACAGTGGTGATGCCATGCACTGAACAGAAGAAAGGAAAGTACAGAGGAGAAAATAAAGTGACGTGTTGGTGGTGATACAGGAAACATCGAGAAACAGGAACAGGAGATGACAGAGATGTGATCACAGTTCGGCCCATTCCGAGAATGAGAGAGACCCACAGGAAAAAGGGGGCAGAAACAACATACAGAAACATTACTTTTCTTTTTTTTCTCTCCATAAAAGGCTTTTCAGTTGTTTTCACTAATTAATAATAACAATATAATTACAAATATTGCCATTATTTTATTTATTATAAAAATAATGATCTGATTGTGCCCATTCCACCACAGACTAAACGATATTATTTAAATATAACAGGTGCATTACTGACCACAGGCCAGATATTTGGACATATGAACATCTTCAAAGTGTAACAGGTTTAATAAATGGGCACCTTCCCTCTGAACCAGAACAGTATCTGATTCTGAATTTCTATATGGTGAATAATAAATGATAAAATCACAAGCTTCACACATATTAGCAAATCAGACCAGTCATTCATATAATAGGCAAAAACGTTTGTAGCAGAAAAACACTCACAAACATACACTCGTTTTTTCATCACTTATTGTCACGTACGCTCTTAAAAATGATTTCCCGCACCATATGATATGACACAGCATTCATTCAGTTGAATTCATGCACAGCATCCTCCTGACACTCGCTACACTAAAAATCCAATAGTGTAAAATGAAGGCTCAGAATAAAAAACAAAACAAAACAATGCACAGGTCGGCTCCAAACGATCAGTTAGTTTCCATGCTCACTAAACTACACCCTCCAAAAAAGGGGGATCCGCAGCATGCCAGCGGTCCAGTCTAGGATACATACTCCTCAGACTTCCAGAAGTGTCCGGGGTGCGAGAGCCGGCGATTGAGCTTCGGCAGCTTCTCTAGTAAGTCTGTCAGCTGAGTGAATGTAGGTCTGTCCTCAACTTTAAAGGACCAGCAGGCGGACAGGATCTCCTACAGTGGGAGTACAATGACCATATTAAAGTATGCATCATATAATCATATATATATATATATATATAAGCTGCGAATGCTCTGCATACCCAAGCCATTCATGGACTCTCTAATTAACATTAACACTATAAATTCCCATGTTGGACATGTATCATAAAGCTTACATGCTAAAATGTTGGCAATACTCTCCATCATTTATTTATTTGCCGAACAACGGTAATTTTATTCAAATCTGCCAGTTACAGAGGGTTTCGGGTAATCGAATCCACAGCAGCTTTGGCGCCAAAGCGTATCGTCACCATTGTCCCGCGTTCTCATTGGTTTGCTGTCATTTGGGGAATTTCATGCGCAGAATCGCTCACTCAAGAGGAAAAATGTGCAGTTGCTGCCAGATCTCGATCAACAAAAATAACATTGTGTTTGATACAAAACTAAATAGACTAAATCAAATGAAAAAAAGAGTCACAACTATAACTATTTTCATAGAAGGCTATTTCATTTTCTCCATAAGAAAATTTATTTTTAACGAAACCGTATAAACTGTTAACCTACTGTAAGTAGACCTACTGCAACTATCTGAGGCTGTAAATCACTAGTCTATGCATTTGTTAAAGTCATCTATTTGCATTTTTTCAGCTTATTTTTAAAGAATACTTACTCTATTTGACTTATAATAAATATGAGTAGCCTATTATAAATACAATATATTATACTTATTTTCAATTCTTAATAATAATAATTAAAAAAACACTTCTGGCATACATTTAAATTGACGCCTGCCATTATTTGTCGTCTCTGATTTAGATGTGCAGTACCGTTTAAAGGTGCAGTTTGTAGTTTCTGTAACATTAATGCCACCTAGAGGAATTTCAGAAATACAGCATGTTTTGTCCCTTTCACGCATTGCGCCTGACTCAACTGCTTTTACGGGTGCTTGTGAAGGCATCAACAGGTAAATGTATGCTTCTTACAATAAAAGGTCAAACATATTAGGAATACTTTAGCTGTGTTGCTATGTGTCATGAGAGTAAGCAACCGAGCAGCTAACACTCTGTCTAGGTCGAACGCGAGCGTCTCGCTTATTAAAACCCATTATCCAATGGATATGCACCAGATGAATTTTTGATATAACGCGCCATCCAGCATGCCTGGTTTAAAAAGTCACCGCTCGCCACTGATATAATAATATAATTTTAAATGTACTGGGGCTGGACTCACCGTAACCTCCTTGCCCACGCTTGTACCCTTCTGGGCCAGTAACGTTCTGAGGCCTTCTCCACTTCCCAGCTGATAGATCAAAACTTCAGTTGGTTGGTTGATGATGGGCCAGTCTTTGGCCTGGAGTTCATACCAGATGGTGCTAAGACAGACACATTCACAGTCAACTGATCAACTCCATTGTTGGCATGCAATGTATTGTTTTTAAAATGCATTTAAAGTGATTGATCAATCAGAAAAAGTATTGTCTTGTGAGAAAAAAAGTAAGCAGAAATGAAACATTAACACCATAACCTAGTGTTTAAATAGGCACATTAGATGAGATGCAGATGTGAAAACAAAGATGTGGCTTTTACCCAAAGGCGTAAACATCAGCAGCTTTTGAAAAGGGCAAACAGTCTTCTTGGTTTCCTGGTCCCATCTTTTGCACGATCTCTGGAGCTAGGTAATAGATCCACCCACGTGGCAGCTTCAGTTCATTTTCCCGCCTACACACACACACACACAAATACACACATGCGTTAATGAAGCTCTTAACAAAGCATACTGTATGATAAGATTATTCATTTATTATAAATTAGCTGCAGTCATGACATGAACCCTTACCTGCCCTCTTGGACCACTCCAGACATCCCAAACAGGCCAAAATCTGTGATTACTACTTTGTTTGAATCGTAAAACACATTCTTGGACTTTAAATCTTTGTGCACAATTCCCTTTGCATGAAGGTAACCCATTCCCTGTAGAATGTAAAAAAAAGCAACAACAAAAAACAGTTAAAGCAAAGACAGTATAAGTGTATAACCATTGCACTCAAAATGGCGGCAATAGAAATTGAAGTCCCTTAATAATAATAACATACATTGATGAATCATTTAAAATAAAACCAAGAACATGTATTGCATGTTATGCTTCATACCTTAACAATTTCCTGAGCGATTTGTCTTATTTTGTTGATGTCAAGTTTAGAGTCCCTGACAACAGAGTAAAGTGTCCGTCCTTTACAAAAGCTATGGATAGATAAATAGATAAATCAAAATCCAAACACACATATGCACCCATATTAAACATTCAAAACATATACACTAGCGTTCAAAAGTTCCTTTTTGAAGTCTCTTATGCTCACCAGGATGCATTGCAATTTGCAACAATAAAGTAGAAACAGTAATATTGTGAAATATTATAACAATTTTAAATAACTGTTTAAAAAAAAGTCAAATTAATTCCTGTGCTGGCAAAGCTGAATTTTCAGCATCATTACTCCAGTCTTCAGTGTCACATGATCCTTCACAAATCATTCTAAATATGCTGATTTGGTGCTCAAAGAAACATGTTGAAAACGTAATCTTTCCACAATATTTTTGTGGAAACAGTTTTTTCAGGATTATTTGATGAATATAAAGTTCGAAACAGCATTATTTGAGACAGAAATCTTTTGTAACATTATATGTCTTTACAGTAACTTTTGGTCAATTTAAAGGTGGAACCAGTTGTTTTTGAAATATGCTGTTTGGAAGTTAGTCGGGCCGGCACAACAACAAACGTGTAGCCAATCAGCATTAGGGGGCGTATGGCGGTGGAGGAGAGAGAGCGAGCAAGAGGGAGATTTGAAGAAAGACTGCAGAAATAGAGATGAGACAATACAAAAGAGAAAAGCTCAGAAGAAATCACTGGAAAATAAAGGGTTATGTCTGGGCAAGAGCTTTAGGACCCTTGTTAATATTAGAAACGCTGTTCAGCGCTGGAGAGAGTGAAGTGGGAAGGCCTGAAAACAGACGCGGATGTTGCTTTGATTCGGGTCCACTCGTGAGTAACACTGGGTTTGAGTGTCATTGTGTGTCTGGAGCTGCTGTACTGTTGGCAACTAACAACCAACTCTTGTTTGTAATTACTATTGTGTACTGCACATTTATTTTTTTGTGCCTCCTTGTCATTCGTTCATCATCTGCGCTTTATTTTTCGTGAAGCATTATTTTGTTGCCCTTCTGCTATGATAAACATCCTCTCTTGGATTGCGTGCGAAACGGAGGACAGCTAGTGTGAGTCTTGCTGACGACTGCTAGTGAAAGCGGCGTTTAGAGTCATTGTTAGTCCACTCGACTCGCTTGTAGGGGGATCGGGGTTCGAGACCGAACTAGGGCCGTTAGGATTGGATTGTGTGTTTTGGAGGCGGAGCAATGAAGAAGGGGGGTGTTTGTTTGGGTTGATTTCGAATATATCAACATTGGCCAACAGCATATTTCAAAAACAACTTACCCCACCTTTAATGCACCTTTGCTTTCATTTCTTCTTCAGAAAATAAAACACTTTTGAATGTCTGTGTATATGAACGACACAACATTGAGAGTGCAGAAAGAGATGAACCTGGTGATAATGGCCAGATGGGGCGGGTTCATGCAGGCCCCCATGAACAGCACGACATTCTCGTGTCGCGTTTGCCGGTAGTTCATCACCTCCTTCTTGAACAGCTTCAGGTGCTCCTGATTGTTACCGTCAATCTCCAACAGTCGAACGGCCACCTCTCCGTGCCAGCGGCCCCTGCACACCTTCCCCCAGCGGCCTTTACCGATCAGCTCTCCCAGCTCCAGCTGCTCAAACGGCACATCCCACTCCCGCAGGTCAACGCTAGTCTGGCTGGCCTTACGGCTTATATGGTCCTTCCAGTAGCCCTTGCAGTTGGGCAGGTCATCCACTTCATCACCTTCACTTTCATCGTCCGATCCCTCCTGATCCTGACCGTCATCCCCTTGCTGTTCCTCATCCTGAATAAGAAGAATAGGTTTTGAGTTTACACAATTCAAAATGCAGAAATTAACTGGAAATTGTGGCAACAAACGCTTTCAATTCCTGATAGCTCTGTGGGTGGAAGGTGTTTCTTGCGGAACTCACCACAGCTTCCCTCTGGCCTGTTGATGTCTGCTTAACATTACCGTCCAAGTGGTCTGTTTCTCTGCATGGGAGAGAAGACACGCTAGACTCAACACATTTAACCATTTAGCAGTATATAAATACTATGTATGATCTCGATCATTTACAAGGGATAGTTCACCTTTAAATATAAATTCTGTTATTTACTCACGTTTTTCTGAACCCATGTGACTTTCTAATGTGGGTCACAAATAAAGGAAAAATTGATGTCAACTGTTTTGTCTCTGACGTCAAAACCTCATTTGAGACAGTATTATTTTAGTAGTATTATTATGTACTATTATACTATCAAATAATATTTTGAAAGAGCTTTTATTTTTATATTTTTCAGTTTGAATTTTTAGTAATTTTATATACGTTTGTCATTTCTATTAGCTTTTTTATATTTCTATGTAACTTTAATGTCTTTTATTTCATTTGGTTGCCAGGGCAACATTTATCATTTTTATATTTCATCTAATTTTTATATTTTGTGTTATTTCAGCTTCATTTCAAAACATTTTTAATAGTTTTAGTTTCCGTTTAAAAACTTCAGTGTTTCAGCATATAATTACTTAACTTTGAGCTTTTTCTCACTCAAAGATATCAAATGACTTCAGAAGACATGTTAAACAACTTTTATGGTGCTTGGCATCTAATTTTGTGTTCCACGGAAGAAAGCCAATCTAACAGATTGGGATCAACATGTAGGTGTGTAAAAAGCTTTTGAATGAACTTCAATGAAGCATGCATAATAAGTTTGAACTTGCAGGGGAAGTTCAGGGCTGCTACATTGGTTCCGTTTAAAGTTTAATTTGTGATGAAGCAATAACCAAAAATGTGGGGCAGTCACTGACTCATTGCATGGACAGAAATTAAAATGAGGAACCAAAACCAATAAAACTTGCATTTAACTGGTCCGGGGTCAAAACACTTTTGGAAAAACTGGAAAAAAAAAACAGTAATTGAGAAGTCTTGCCTTACCCAGTGTTGTAACTGCCATCTGGATGCGTGGAACTGGATACGTCTGTGAGGACAAAAAGGGATTCTGAGTGTGTGACTACATGAGCAGTGTAAGTGTGTGACTACATGAGCAGTGTAAGTGTGTGACTACATGAGCAGTGTAAGTGTACTTCAGAGTGCAGAAGTTCACCTTCAACATTATACACCAATGCTGCTATTAAACGTTCAGATTTAAGTTATAACAGTTGTGCTGCTTGATATTCGTTGTGGAAACTGACATTTATTTTTTTCAGGATTCTTTGATGAATAGTTCAAAAGAAGAACATTTGATTGAAATAGAAATCTTTTGTAATTTTAGAAATGTCTTTGCGGTCACTTTTGATCCATTTAATGTGTCCTAGGGATTAAGGTTAAGGATTTGAGCAATATCAATAGTTTTTGCGTGTTAACAACTTTAATATAAATGTAAACTATACACTAGAATAATATGCGTTTCAGATTCTCCATGCATGTACACAGAGAGCTGAAAATGCAAAATACTGCAAAAAATAAAGCAATTCCCATAGATAACCACTAGGAGGCAGCACATCACAGTCTAAACACTGATAGCAACACAGGCCCTGTCCCAAATGGCATACTTCATGTGCACTTGCGATCTTGTGTACTTACAAAGGACACAAGGCCGTAGGGTGTCCCATTTGTCATATTAGGTTTCAGAAGGGTGCTCATGAGCGCCCCCCGTCACGGACAATGATGCACACAATGATGTCACATGAACTCGGAGGAAGATCTCAAGGGCTTAGAGTACCATTTGGGATAAGGCCTTAATCTCACTACAGTTTAAGTTCACTACAGAGTTTACTGCAGGTTAAGCTCTAAAGATTGGGAGAGCACAGTTGAGTTGTCTCAAAAAGTCAGTGACAACTCAACAAGGAACTAAGACATCACACCTGAAGGGTAAATAACAGAGTTTTATGGTGTGGATGATTGTTAACTCACCAGGGAAGACAAACTGTGGTCTATGCTGAAAGTAGCAGGCAGCTAATGAATGGGACAAACAGACAGATGTCCGCAAGGAAAAGAGAAAGACCCAGTTAAACAACTAGCGTGTTATGCATCAGCAAGAATTCCTTAGTAATGAAACGATTTAGAAATGCTTTAGTAATGCACAGCGGAACATTAAGGGCAGATATTAGTAGGTTAGTATACATTCATCCAAGAGGTTAATTCTGAGCACTGGAGGACAGACAGACAACGAAGAAGTGCCTGCTGTGCTTCAAAAAGAAAGACCTTCTTGCCGTGTCGAATTTTAAATGGTTGTAGACGCGGAAGGGTAAATAAGATACCGTGGTTTCCGTGTAAACGAGACTGACCTGGGAAGTGAAAGCGACTGTCAACGTGACCCTTAGGGGAGGGGTTGGGTGGCGGGGTGGCGCTCGGGGGGTTGCTCTGACTGGACGGGGCAGGTGAGGAGGGGGTGGAGGAGGTTGTGGAGGAGGGGTTACTACTGGAGTCCAGGTGACTCAGGGATGGAGGGTGGTCCTGAAGGTAAACACACAAATCTTAGAAAACATTCTCCAGAAACAAGGTGTAAAAATGGATGTTTAAAAACAGTTATGACATAATTATGAAATAGAAGTTCAATAACAAAACTAGTCACTAGCATGACCAATTTGAATTGAAAAATTAAAATGAATAAATAAATAAAAAGGTCTTTATACATGATCATTACATTTATTTACTTGTTATTTAATGACACTTCAACTTTAAGAGACTTATAACACCACTGAGTCAGCACACACAAGGAGTTAGCATAATGAGAATCTCAGCTTCCTGGTTTGTGTGGTTTGCTACATGCCTTTTTGTTTATTGCCTTCGGCAATGTTCCGTACTGCTGCGACTCTGCCGGTCGCTCCACCTGGTTGTTGATACCTGATGGTACTGATTCTGTTCTTCTGATCTTGTTTGGAACTGAAAGAACAGGACAAAACTTTAGATCATCTTCAGCACAAATCTGTATGAATAGAATATATATTACAACTTGTACAAAATCTTACGTTGTGCGAATGAAATCCTGCACTTAGGGGCCTCTTTAGTACATTTGTTGTGGCACTTCACCCTAAAAGAGATGGAAGCAAACATTAGCAGGGAGAAAGTCAGATGTGGTTTTCTGAAATGTTTCTTGTCTTCCCTTACTTGCAATGTTTGCATTTAACACCGAACATCATGTTCTTCTTGCACACCTGGCACGTCTGAGACAACCAGGACTTGGTGGAAAACCTGAGGCGGCACAATAAGAAATCCAATTTCAGTTGTTCTGGAAGTTGAAAGACAAACTAGTACATAAGAATGAAAACAGGAAAAAGTTCAGTGGTCATTACCTGTGTGTGACATCCAGACCGATATCCTTCCTCATGATCAACGGAGAGCTTCCGTGGGTTGCAACGTTATCTAGATGATGTTAAAGAAACACAGATTGGACTCAAAATGAATTAAAACTAAGTTTACTGTTAGCATGTTGCTAAGCTAATGTTGTGATACTCAAATAAGCATACACACACTACAAATCTCAAAAGGAAGCATAGCATTGCTGTCTTTGGATCAGCCTTCATGATGGAAGCACATTTGTGATTCCTTACAATGCTGTCTAGGTACACAGCTAACACAGCTAGTCTTTTACTAGGGCTAAATAAGAAAACGTACTTCTTATACCCGCAGGATCTCCCAGGTGACTGGGTGTATTTGGTAGGATGCAGGGGGAGCGGGCAGACAGCAGTGGTGACCGTGAGGGTGAGTCTTCCCAGCCATTTCCTCCACCATTTACCTGCACGTTCAGAAGCGGTTTATTTTTCTTCCCACTCCTGCAGGGTGAGGGACACAAAACTACATTTAGTATCTGGGTAGTTGACATCAAAAGTAACTGTTATGCTATTTTAAAAGGTTCCTCCTACATGCATCCAAGGTAAAAAAAAAACTCTTTCTGATAATATACACTGCAGCATCACCTCTTTTTTCACAGTCTGAAATGGTTCAATCAAGGATTAGGTCTCTCTGAACCCCTCATTTCTGAGAGCGTACTCTGCTCTGATTGGTCAGATAGTCCACATCTGTTGTGATTTGTCTACTTCTTACAGCGCGTGTTGGAAACAAAACGCCCATTGCCATATCTGTATTTCAGCTCCGGAGGCTTCCTCAGCACTTGATACACAGTAGCCGCGTTTCCACTGCCGGGCCAGGGCCGGGCCGTGCTAGTGCGTGCCAGGGCCAGTCGCGTTTCCACTGTCACTTCCGGGGCTTGATCGGGGCTTACTCGGGGCCAACGGCCAGGATTTCTGGCCCGTCGAATACCTTGGGCCAAAGCGGGCCAGCTCGGGCTAGAGGAGTGGTTACGAACAGAGGCGGGGATTACCTGAGTCGAGAGACAGGAGCGCCGAATGATTCTGTCAGCATTAAAGACTTTTAAAATAATTTAACTCACTTTCATGTTTTAATGCCTTCTGTTTGTGATCTGATGTGGATTCTGATCACCGTATAAGGTAGAAATATTTATACGCGATGCAAAAGACTATGCGCGCTAACCATTACCATAGTAAACATAGTAAACGCTTGAAGATACGCATAGTAAAAAAACATGGTGAACGCTTGAAGAAGTCAGACCAATCATAAAGGCTATCACAATCATGTTTTTATTTTATCTGTCAGTAGCCTACGTATACTACATAGTAGTCTCTTTATACCGGACTCTACTTTTTTTCGGGAGCTTCCTGTTTCTCTGACTGAAAATATATCTGTAGCTACTGGGAGTCGAGACTGTGCTAACGCTCCTCAGGTCGTATTTTTGGTGGCATATAACATTATTTGTAGAAATTATCATTGTTTCTAAATGTGATATATGTCCTGTAACTACCAATAAACAGAAACAGCCTCGACTGAATAATGTAAGTGTGTCCTCTTTCTTTTGTGAAATAGACCTAACGTTAACGGTCATTTATTTCTGTGTGACTAATGTGCAATTTTGACATAAATTAATTCATTATGATCAATGTATCACTTTTTATTGTAAACCTGTGGTAAAACATCGATGCTTGGGTTTTAAATATTCAAGTAAACAACAAAAATGCCAGCAAACGGCCGCTTTTATCATGTTTGTTTTGCGATGCACGCTGTTTCCAGTGATTTCTTTCTGATTAGTTTTCTGATAAAACTTCCATTTGTTGGTGAAATGATGGGTTAGTGTGACGTTGTTCCAGAGAGGCGTGTTGCGGGCGTGTTTTAGTGACGCGCTGTGGAGTTTCTGGCCCGACAGTGGAAACGCAGGCCAGGTGCTACTGGCCCGAGGCTATTAGCCCGGCACGGCCCGTTTAAAGCCCTGGCCTAGCACTGGCCCGACAGTGGAAACGCGGCTAGTGATACGAACAATAACGATGGTGCCGGTTTTACTGACTCTTCACATCTTCATCCTTTTGAAATTCATGCAAAGTGAATTGGCTTTGGTAGCACAGAAAACCGCATCTTCTCGACATGCCGACAACATGACCCAAACCTATGTAAGGTTAGTGCAGGAAGTAAGGCTGGAATTACAGACGACTCGTTTCAGGCAGTTCAGAATCGATTCTTTCTTTTGAAAGACAATAATTCCATTTGTTGTGCACTTTGATTTTTGCAGACCTTTTTTAAACGTAATCATTAAACAATTAATAATTAAAATAATAAATAATTTGAATAATGAATAAATAAATATTTGACTTTAGTTTATAATAAAAAAATTATAAAATTGATAAAAATTCATTATTAAAAAGATATTTAAAAAAAAATATTTGTTACACTGCAGAAACATTTAAAATGAACTATTGTGACAATTTACAAAGTTAACCTGAAATCATTAAAGGGCACCTATTAGGTTTAAACATAAATTTGAACATGTTTGAACATAAATGTGTGTTGGCAGTGTGTGTACATCCTATAATGATAAAAATCCACCCAGTGCTTTTTTTTCAATCCCCATAAATCACAAGCAGTGTCTCAGAACAACCTGTTCTCAGATTCGGGGCAATGTGACGTACTTTTGCACAAGCCCCTCCCACGACTGTTGACTGACACTGCAGTTTTAGCGTAGACCCGCCCTGAGTGAGCTAAACACAGTCCGCCATTGTTTCGACGCGGAGCAGCTGTAGACAAGAATGTCTCCTAAGCGATTGAGGTGTTTTGTTATAAGATGTAAGAATGAACATAGCAGCCAGTCATCATTTACTCTCGTTGTTACTCGATGATGGGTCTGTACCAACTGTTCGTGATCCTGCTTATAGTCACCGGTGCGTTATTGGTCACGGCAGTAATGAAAGGGAGAGTGCGCACTTTATTACAGTTCATAGGAGTTGTTTTACGGATATAAAGTTTACCAGTTTATTAAGCACCCCTGAAAAGGTGTGTGTATATTTGTTTACAGTTAGTAAACAAGTGTTTAACAAGTGTTTTGTGTAATTCGCTGTATACGTTAATGATAATGAAAGGGAGTGAGAGAGTGTATAGATAAGACTTTAATGCGCACTTCTTATACTGTTTATTACTCTGGCTCTGTAGGCATTATTGTCCGACTCCGGGTCGAAATAAACACAGCGACTGAGAGTTTCCGTTTTTGATATTATCATTCCGTGAGATAAGATTGTCCTGGCTCTGAGCGCGAGCCAGGCCCTCTGTGCGGCTCCAGCAGCTCATTTGCATTTAAAGGGATACACACTAAAACGGCGCGTTTTTTTCTCATCCCCAAAAATTTACAATTTAAACATGCTGTAAAAAATGATCTGTTGGGTATTTTGAGCTAAAACTTCACATACACACTCTGGGGACATCAGAGACTTATTTTACATCTTGTGAAAAGGGGTGTAATAGGTGCCCTTTAAGACTCTGATCTGTTTCATTGGAATTATTACAATGCAACCAAATAGAATTCTCAGAAAGCTTAATGACTCACTGTACCTCCTCCCAGCAAGACATTTTCCTATAGAACTTTAAATAAAAACACACCTGCAACTTGGCCACCACAAATATTTAAAAAATGTTGTACGAATGGAGGCGTGCAGCTTCACATGCAGGGAGTTGCGGTGGACTTCAGTTCACACACAGATTCTGAGGAGGAGCTCCAAAAGCAGACATTTACTGGCTCAGAGAGAGAGGAGAGGAGCGGGAATGATCAAGCGCAGGACGCCAGCGAGTCTGAGAAGGGGTCTGACCTCGGCCTTGTGCTAACGGGAAACACTGGGGCTACGTGAAGGGGCGGAAGGAGGGGGAGTGTTGAACTCCTCTGCCCCCGTCCAAAACCTGCCTGGACCTCGGCCATCAGTGATCTCAGATGACACAGCAGTCCGCTCCCACAGACCCAACACACACTGGGCAGGGCGACATTGCATGGTACACATATGAAAAGCATGAACTAAAATAATATGAAGAACATTTTTCCTAAGAAGGATTTCTACATTCATGCTGCAGGGCAAAATATTCCACATTTTTGCTAAGTGAGGCACCATGTTACGTGAATCAAATGTTGTGCAACATATAAGGGAAAATCCTGAAAAAATTTTTTTTTTAAAAGAGATATAGATGCAATGTTACAAAGATTTTTGTCCTTTTGGGGAACACAACTGGTACATTTTGTTTTATTTATCCAGGCAACTTTTGTCAGTATAATGAAGAATGGGGTTGTCAAAGTAAGCAATAAGGTACGAGAGGCTGTGCTGTATCGTGAATAAGTCACGGCTGAAGGGCGTTGTTAGGCACGATGCAAAGCGGAGTAAATAAAACAGCCATTGACCAATCAGAATCAAGGATTGGAACTAACCGTTTTATGAAGTCCAATAAAGCACCATAAAAGTATCATAAAAGTGGTCCATATGACGTTATTTTAAGACCTGTTCCAAGCTTTCTAAACTCCATAAGATAGCTTTATGCAAACCATCATTAGAAGTTGTTATTCACTGGCAATTTGGACAGACCTCACCGATTCAATGAATAAGTCACAGCCCACTGAATGTAAATTATAAATCTCGTTCTGTTCCTTTATGGCTTTATCATATGGCTTTAGAAGACTTGGAATAATGTGCACTAATCATCCGTATATGATATTTGATAATGCTTTTGCATCATTTTCGAAGCTCGAAAGCTCCAGTGCCCATTCATTGTAAGTGCATGGAAAAGGGCAACCAGCACCGAGGAAACAAAGTCAGACAGGTTTGAAGCAACATGAGGGTGACTAAACAATGACAGAATATTCATTATGTGTGGAATGGAGTCTGGAAATTCACAGTTACATCAAGATTAAAAGTTAACACGCGTCAGCATATATTTCTGTGTAGTTTCATGTTACTGTTAGCCCTGTGACTAATTTTATTGTTTGAAGAGGCTTTTATGCTTTAGACTTTATCTTCAAATAGTCACACCCTTCAGATGAACATATTCCATTTCCATCTCCTCCTCAGTGCATTACTTCATGACTGTACAATGAGGTAAATGTTTCTGACATCATTATAGAATGACATTATAGAATTAGGCTGTATCAGAAAGGGGAAAAAAAAAAATCAATAGATGATGCAGGCTAATGTCCAAATGGATGCATTTTTGTTACAGACAGCAGTGAAAGTGCCATCAAATGGATGTGAATGGATCTACACTACCATCCAAAAGTTTGCAGTCAGCAATTTTTTTCTTAAATGAATCGCTTTTATTCAACAAGGATGCATTAAATTGATCAAAAGTGACAGTAGAGTAATTTGATAAGGTTTAAAAAGATTTCTATTTGTATTTCTAGCTTTAAATTTATCAAATATCCTGAAAAAAATGTACTGTATGGTTTCTTTTCATTTAATAAATTACATTTACAATATATTAAAACAAAAAACTGAATGAATTTTAATTTTAATATTTCACAATATAACTGTTTTTACTGTATTTTTGATCAAATAAATGCACCCTTGGTGAGCAAAAGAGACTTCTTTCAAAAACGTTTACCCCAAACCTTTGAATAGTAGTGTATTTGAAAACTGCATTGTGATTGGTCAATTTTTTTTGCATGTATTTAATCATTTATAGCCACACACAGTGACTGATTTCTGTGTGTAGCTGACTGACAACAGGAAAGCAGGTCATTTACACAGAACCAGTGCCAGCACTCGGATTTCCTTCTGCAATTTCAGAAATGCAAATCTAGTTTGCATTCAAATAATATGCAGGTGTCAAATAGCAAATGTTGCTCTAATCTAGACAATCACTTTTAAAGACACCTTAAAGTCCAGAAGCACTCTCACACAAATCCTGTAATACTTAAAGCAACACCAAGGAACTTTTCCTCAGCGGTCGCCCTACAGGTTGGAAGCGGAATTGTCCATTACCGCTGTCGTAAATAATTTAGCCTACCGCAGCCTACTGTCGCACGCACGCTCGCTGTATATCCAGCACCGGCTTTGGAATCAACAATGGCAGACATCCCAACCTGCAAGAAGCCATTTCAGGGAGGTATATCTTGGTGACTGGATTGTTGACGGGGGGGGGTGGCGGGTTGACAAGCTTTCGTGAGGCACACTCGCAAGGTCTCTCGCTCTCTCCCTCTCTGCCGTGCTCGCGCTATGTATGTTATGCGCGCAGTATGTTCTGTCTCGCATGCGCGCTCTAGATTCCAGCAGATTTTAACTACTTTGCGGGCATCAGGGAGACGCTATAGACTTGGGATGTCTGCAATGGCCATAGACAATTTGAGGAAGTGGTGGGTGAAGTGACGTATGCCGTAAAGCAGTCAAGTTTTGTAGTTCTTTTTGTGCTCGGGTTACTACCCGAAACCCGAAGTTACATAGTGCGAGTAAAAGCGATACAGACCACGTCAGGCTATGGCAGACGTGTCATTTAACCTATTGTAAGTCGATGTACCATCACAAGGGTCTTGGAAATATATTATGAAGGTTGAAAAGTTACATAGTGTTGCTTTAACAATACTTTACCACTTATTCATCTAAATAAACCCTCTCAAAGCAAACTTTGAGAAGAGATTATCATGCCATGGAGCAATACATTGATAAATGAAATATTATTCAGTGCAGAACTTACTTGTTGGGTGTAGGGTCATCTATCCGGTTGGCCAGTTGGCTCTGGCTCTTGCTGCGTGTGAGGGTGATGCTGGGAAGGAGGTTTAGCAGCTTGCGGGAGGGGGGTGGTGGAGTTCGTGGGGGCCACAGCTTGCCAGACTTTTTGGGTGGTGGGGTAGCTGGAGGGGTGGACAGCAGCCGGGAGGTGCAGCGGTTCAGCTGCGGGGAGGACGAGAAGGGGTCCGTCAGCACATCACAGTGAGTGTGGACAATTGTAGGGAAGTCCGTTGAGGGTAGGGCAGACACGGAGACGCAGGAACGTGGGGCAGGCAAAGCAGAAGAAGGGGGCCAGTTGATTGGGTTGGGACTGTAAGACTGAGGTGCACGCATAGAACAAGACAGTGGGTCAGCAGAGGTACTGTCACGTTGAGTGGGTTCTGCTATCCACGGGATGCCCTCTTTCCTGAGAAGTCCTCCTGTTAAAACATAAAAAGAGAGAGACTTTATGACAATTGAGGAACAGGTGGATGATCAATGCAGGGCTCCAGTAAAAGTAGTATTTTAGTATTATTTATAAACAATTATAGTATTAATTAATAATTTGAATCAGCTTTTATTTTTATATTTTGAGATTCCATTTTAGTTAAACTTTTAGTAATTGTGTTATGTGCTTTTGTCATTATTATTATTACATATTTAGCTTTAATTTAAATTGAATACATTTTTATTTCAGTTTTTAGTTATTTTAGTACTTCAGCTTAAGTTTTTTCATGTAATATTTATATGATATTTTATTTCAGCTTTATTTCAATTGACAAAGATATAAATAATTATTTTATAGCTTTTTAGCAACAAAAACAACACGGTTGCTCATAAATTAAAAGTTTTGCTTCCAATCTTGCTGTCATTGGCGATAGTCCGAAGTTTTTTTGTGTGCTTCCATATGAGATTTTGTCAAATATCATCTCAACATGCACATCTCACCATCATCGATTTGAATATATTTTAAAAAATAGTTTATTCCTGTGATGCAAAGCTGAATTTTCATCATCATTACTCCAGTCTTCAGTCACATGATCAATGTTAAAAACAGTTGTAGTGCTGCTTCATTTTTTTTTTTTTGAAAAGCAGTGATATTTTTTTGTCGGGATTCTTTGATGAATAGAAAGTTTTAAATAACAGCATTTATTTGAAATAGAAATAATTTGTAACATTTAATGTCTTTACTGTCACTTTTAATCAATTTAATGCATCCTTATAATTTAAAAGTATAATTTTTTCTTAAAAAACAAAACAAAAACAAACTTACCCTGACCCTAAACTTTTGAACAGAAGTGGCACAAAAACAATCAACCATTTTGGAGCAAATGTACACTCAATATAGCTAGAATTAAAGGCAGGTAAAAAGCCTAGAGCAGGGGCCGCATGAAGAGTGGAAAGAGGAAGGAGTCAGCAGTGACCTGTGTTAGTAGCGCTCTTGAGACAGGAGAGGGCAGCGGTGATGCGGGAACACTCCTCACTGCTAGAGCCCAGTCTTTTCATGGTGTCTTCCACCTGGGCACTGGACATTTGCAGCAGAGCATCCAGGGACAGCTTCGCAGGGACTGCCTGGAAGACAGAATAAAACGATAATCATTGCATATAGTCAGAAATGGACACAGATAATTAACTGCACATTATTCTTGTAAACCGCACCAGATATTACTTCTTGACTCAATATTGTCTTGTTTGACCAGAGTCTTTGGTATTTCTGTGGCAACTGATGTGGCTCTAGAAAACAGACAGAATGGAGTCTATATAGTAATTAGAGAAAGATTAGGTGATAAAGCCCCCTACAATCCCCTCGCTGCCACTAAGACTGCTGGCATCTCATGGCACCACACTGAGCCAATGTCCAGATACCCGGCACAGTCCAGTTTTCTTTCACTATCCACCATCTCTGTTACATTCCTCCACCCTACAACATTCCTGCGCTCTTTGGCGTCTCCCTGCCGCATTTCAAATCTCACCCAAAACACACACACACACGCGCTTACTCAAACGCATGACTGAGAAGTTTCCCAGCAACAGTTGTCGCTCTGGTCAGTGTGGTCTCCGTGGTAAATTAATAGATAACAGGAACTCACCCAAAAATATGGATTTCTCCAATTTAATTGATACTCATTTTAAAGAGCTGAAATCTATTCTTAATTTCAGTTGATAAATGAAAGAAGCTTTGTAGCGTACCTCCCATACAATAAATGTTGTTACCTCTGATATGAAACTCATTGCAAATTCATTGTATTTTCACTTGTTCTTCAATATTTAATATTTAATTTTTGAATAAATCAGTCATGTTTTTTTATGACAGCCACCATTTAAATGTTTATATTTAAAAAAAAGTAGAACTGAGTAGAAACATAAATATTTCTTAAAAAATATATTATATCGTTGTTATTATAAAAATGTTTTGCAATTTAAATGCAAGTAGCCTAAAAAAACAGTGCCTTGAGAAAGTATTCAAATGCCTTAATTTTTTCCCATTTTATGTTGCTGCCTTGTTCAACTGCTTTAAATCAGTTTTTTCCCCACATTAATCTACACATCATACATCATATGACAAAGCAAAAACAGTTTTGTAAAAACTTTGCAAATTTATTAAAAATAAAAAACTGAAATAAAAACATTGCATAAGTATTCATACCCTTTTCTGGGTCTGGGACACTTGAAATTTAGCTCAGGAGCATTCCAATTTCACTTGTGGATGTTACTACACTTCGAGTTGAGTTAACCTGGGGCAAATTCAATTGAATGGGTATGATTTGGAAAGGCACACACCTCTCAATAAAAAAGTTCTGACAGCTGAAAATGCATATCAGAGCAAAAACCAAGACATGATGTCAAAGGAACTGCCTGTAGAGCTCAGATACAAGATTGTGTTAAAGACACAGATCTGGGAAAGACTACAAAAAATTATTCTGCATTGAAGGTTCACAGAAGCATGTAGCCTCCATAATCCTTAATGGAAGATGTTTGGAACAACCAGCAGGGCTCTAGAGTGCGACCAATTTGGTCGCATATGCGACCAAAATTTGTAAGGGTGCGACTAAATTTTTTCCTAGGTCGCACCAGTGCACCTAACCTTCTCGCATGATCGCATCCGTTGCCTCTCAACAAACGAGTCTTTTGTTCTCCTTGCACGCATGGTTGGATCATATCGTGGTCTAAACCAATCAGAGATAGAGATTGGGCTGGTCTTTGCCTCTGATTGGCTGTGGTTCAGATATTCCTGTAGGACTAAAATGCTCCGTGCTGTCTGTGTGATAGAACTAAATTGCGACGTGAGCACCAGAGAATCAGTTACGGCAATCAGCAGCATCAGCTAAATAAACGCAAGAAAACAGACGACGAAGAAACTTTAAAAAATGTAGGCTACTTGAACTAGGTAAAAAATATTGTTTTCTCGATTTTAATCGATTCTCATTTTACGAACCGTTGGGCTATGCTGTTTTCAGTTGATGAATGAATGGAACATGTAGCGAGCATCCCATCCAATAAATCGCAGTAATCTTTGTGCTTTGTTACTATTGATATGAAACAAAGTCTCAGATTTCAAATTAGGTCCATTTTCTTATGAAATTCAAAAACATAAATAGTGTGTTGACGCTGTGGCGTGAGATCGCTCTGGCTCAGCCCCAGAGAAGCAGCAGCGCGAGCGCACATGATCTCCTCTTCCGCCTTAATAATACCAGTTACAGCGCGAAATAAACATGAACGAGCATCTGAAAGTGTGTTAAAAGATAGGGTACAACTTATCGAAATCCGTATCTTTCACATGGAATCGCTCAATCAGTGTTTCAACCGTGGAAAGACGTCAGTAAAACGCTTGTAAACAATGTCATGTAACGTCACATTTACCTCAGAAAAAACATATCCAGTGACCATAAACTCGTTAGCTAGAAAAATTAACTCTAGGGAGGAGCATTTTGCCAAATATATGCACCATATTCCATGTTCATTATAATGTTTTAATGTTTTTCAATATTTAATGCATGTTGTTTGAAAAAATCTGGCAAGTTTTTATGCAGCCACCATTTAAATGTTTATATTTCATATAACTTTATTATTATAAAAATAAATAAAAGTGTAATTTAAGTGTTTGTGTACAAATCAGGTCATTTTTACCTTCAATATTATAGTAGGCTAATGAAGCATAGTGGGCTACAACTGACTCCCAGTTTACAGCATTAGTTAAGAGATTTGTTTTCCTTGAGAAAATTTGCCATGTATTGTACCTGATATCCAAAATAATCAATATTGAATCGAATTGTGAAATTTGTGTCAATACCCTGCCCTAACTTGAACAATGTAAAAACAGCACTTTAAATGTTTTATTTTTTTTAAAGATTAACATTTTTATATACAGTATAATTGTGCTTCAAAAAAAATGTATTATTATTATTCTTGTTTAAAAGCATTTACATAATATATATGAATGTATATGGAGCGTGATAAAAAGGTGACCTTGAAATTGTGGCGTTAAAGGCGACGCGAGACGAGGAAAAATTTTAGTGCACCTAAATTTTGTGCTGGTGCACCTAAATAAAAAAGTTAGGCGCACCAGTGCAACCAAGGCAAAAAGTTAGTCTGGAGCCCTGACCAGGGACTCTTCCTAAAGCAGGCCTTCAAGCCAAACTGATCAATCGATAAAGAAGGGCCTTGGTTAGAGTGATAACCAAGAAGCTGATGGTCACTTTGATTACGCTCCATATGGAGATGGGAGAAACTTACAGAAGGACAAACATCACTGCAACACTCAACTGATCTGGGCTTTATGGCAGAGTGGCCAGACTCAAGCCTCACCTAAGTGAAGACGACACATGAAAACCCATTTGGAATTAGCAAAAAAGCACCTAAAGGACTCTCTCAGACTGAAAGAAACAGGATTCTCTGGTCTGATGAACCTCAGTTCCAAGCATCATGTATAGAGGAAACCAAGCACTGCTCATCACCTGCACAAAGACGAATGTAATACAGTATAAAATGTTTGAGCATGGATTATTCATTCTGACACAGATGAACCCAATGTGCTTCAACAATGTACTTTGTCACAGTTATGCTGTGATAAACTTCTTCATCAAGATCTTTAAAGTCCTCATAATTTTTCTTACATTACTGTAAGAAATTATAGTCCGAAGACCCAGCTTTCATTCCAAGATATGTATTAGAATATGCTCCTTATCATAGAGACAATTCCTCCCAATTTCAGTAATATGTAAATAGTACCACTGGAGTAAATAGTACTATCACTTGTAGCGTGGGAGTGGCCATCAAGAACCATCCTGTGTTAAAAAGGATGCATGAATATGACTATCAGGGATTTCAAACAATCTTATCACCTTAACATTTGGGTGTTCCCATCTGAAAGAATATCAAAGATGTGGGAACAGAAGGCTATCACTTTCATTGTTATCCTCAATTTACATTTAAGAGAAAGCTTCATTTATATGTTGAGCTGGAAGACGAATGTAATACCGTATAAAATGTTTGAACAGATTATTCGGGATTCTTTTTTGGACTCCGTTGAACCCATGTGCTTTGTGTACTTTGTCACTGCTATGCTGCAATAAACTTCTTCATTGAAATCTTTAATGTCCTCATAATTTTTTCTTACAACAGCTATACAAAAAATAAAAAATAAAAATTCTGCGCAGTAAATCAGAATTGAGCACAGTAAGACTTGCAGCGTAAATGTAGCCTCGGAGATCGCACTGCGCACACAGAAACATTCAGGAGCACAGAAACTTTTCAATGCTGCACTGTAGTACTGAATTGCTACATTATATTTCTTAGCGACAAGTTGGTAACATCACTGGTTTTAAAGTAATTAAACTCTCAGCAAAGTTGTTCATTGAGAGAGATCCTGAAGAGACAAGTAATTCACACATGCATCTCTCATCTCTCTCTCTCGATAATTAATTCAAATAAATGTAATATTATGCACTACTTATCTCTGTGTCTGATTCAAAGCTGGCAGAATGCTACATCTAACTGACACTGTATTGATACTGAATTGTAACTGACAAAAAATAACTGTGATTTTTTAGCCTTTCGGTCAAATATTTCGCTGCAAACATCAGTAACAACTTTAAGTTGTCCATGCCATGGTATAACCGGGATAATCCATAGCTAGCTATGCATTAAACCGAGTTGGGTGGTTCTTTGCCTCAATGTCGTGCATTAAAATCGTTTAATGCACAACTAGCCGTGGATTATCCCTTACATAAACTATACTAAAAGCAAATACATCAATTATATATTGATAAATATATATCGGTTTTAAAATATAAACATTTTATGTAGAATTAAAAATAATAACAATTAAATGTAAAATAAGTGGTATTTCCTCCTTTACACATGTAATTGTGTTTGTATTGCAGCACAACATAAACAAGTGAAACTGCCTTCTAAACGGCATGCAGGGCACTCAGGGGAACGGGAATCTTCCAGCATCCTTATGGAGACTTCCTTTTTGAACAACAGCCAGAGATCAGAATTAAGAGCACGGATCTCTTCTCAACAAATACTATCCACACATTTACCTTACAGCTGGAAGAACAAGAGACCAA